GAGCCGCCGAGGAGCAGCCCGAGGCCCCAGAGTCTAAGACGAGCCGCCGCCGCCCCCGCCGCCGCCGCCGCCACTGCGGGGAGGAGGGGGAGGAGGAGCGGGAGGAGGGACGAGCTAGTTGGGAGAAGAGGAAAAAAAGTTTTGAGACTTTTCCGCTGCCGCTGGGAGCCGGAGGCGCGGGGACCGCTTGGCGCGGCGCAACCCGGCGAGGAGGCAGGACTTGGGGACCCCAGACTGCCCCCTTACCGCCTCGGACGCTTGCTCCCTCCCTGTCTACACGTCGTCCCCCAGGCGCCCCCACTGCGGACCAGCCCTCAGGAACCACAAACCCGACTCCCGCGAAGACCCGACCCTAAGACCTCGGGCGCACCCCCCTGCACGCCCCATATCCCGGCCTCTCTCCTGAGCCTCTACGCGTCCAAGGACCCTTCTCCTCCGGGATCCGGGAGACCGGATCTCTCTTAGACCTGCCTCAGCTCCCCTATTCAGGACCACCCACCTCTGGTACTAGATCGCGCCCATCTCGGGTTTTCCCGTGGGATACCGAGAAGCCACCCACCAGAGTCTCCTCTCCATTCTCCTCGAGGGCCTCAACCTTCCCACCCCACCCCCTAGGCCCTCCTACCTTTCCTAGGGAGACCCCCAGCCAGCTCCTGTAGGGGCGGGGCCTCCCTGTTCCCAGCCCAGCCCGGCTCGCGCTCTCGGCAGTGCCGGGGGGCGCTGCCTCCCCCATGCCGCCCTCCGGGCTGCGGCTCTTGCCGCTGCTGCTGCCGCTGCTGTGGCTACTAGTGCTGACGCCTGGCCGGCCGGCCGCCGGACTATCCACCTGCAAGACCATCGACATGGAGCTGGTGAAGAGGAAGCGCATCGAGGCCATCCGCGGCCAGATCCTATCCAAGCTGCGACTCGCCAGTCCCCCGAGTCAGGGGGAGGTGCCGCCCGGCCCGCTGCCCGAGTCCGTGCTGGCCCTTTACAACAGTACCCGTGACCGGGTGGCCGGGGAGAGCGCAGAGCCGGAGCCCGAACCGGAGGCGGACTACTACGCCAAGGAGGTCACCCGCGTGCTAACCGTGGAAAACACCCACAGTGAGCTTGGAAGGGCCGGGGACCCTGGAAGGGAGCCCCCAGGGGGCGCCGGCGTGCAGGGGTCAGGGGGAGGAAATTACTAACGGAGGAAACTGACTGGAGGAAGAGGACCCCCGGGGGCGCCGGAACGTGGGAGAGGATCCCAAAGAGGATAGAGCTGAGCACCCCTACCCGCCCCCACCCTC